ACAAATGGGGACCATCGATTTTCACAGGCTTCTGATGAGGCTAATTCCTCACCAACCAAATTTCTCGCCTCAGAGCAGAACAGATGGTAATTTCTTAGTGCGCGGTCGCAACTATAAAGTGGATGTATAAGTGCTTCTGGCTTCCTTCAGACTTTCAATAGCTAACAGCCTATGTTCGAATTAAGAGTTTGGCTTCAGAGGAGCAGCTCATAGTATATGATTCCTTGTCTATACCACTAAACACACCCCAAAACCTTCCTGGTCTGTGCCGGTTCACTGCCCTTCGGGCACGCGCTTTTTTGTTTGACGTAAGTGATCCACTTTTCATCACCATATACCGCCAGTCAACCACTCCAGGAATGGGTTAAATTGTTTGTATTGATTAAATATTTTAATTTTTCCATTTTATAATTTTAATTTTATTTTTAGAAAAAACAATTATTATTTATTTTTTAAAATATTTTGTGTTTAGTTTTTTAATGTTTTTAATATTTTTTTTCTTCATGTACAAATTTTTAATACATCTTGTTTTTTAGTATTTTTTGTTATTTTAATAATATTTAATATTTTGTTTAGCAAATTTTTGTCATTATTATTTTTTTATTTAATATAAATTTTTTGCATATACAAATATTTTTATTCCATTTTTTTTTTTAAATTTTTTTTTTTGTGAACTTCAAAATATACGGATTATAAATAATTTGTTTTTCTTTTTTTTAAAGTTAAGACATGACTTTCTTGTCACTTGTCAAACCACTGCCTAGTCGATTGTTTACGAAAAAATACGGTATATGTAAAATGGTAGCCATTTTTTTTCACAGCGCAAAATCTATATAAAAAGCCTATGTGCCGCCGAAATTCCCATAATTTTTGTGTAATAACATTCCATAATTGTGAAAACAAAAGTTTTTTTTGCAATGAAAGGGCCATACTCAGTTGCATATTACATACATATTTTTTTTTATGCAAACATATACATATACAACTATAACAGGTGGATTTGGTTTTTTTTCAGTTGCAACTAAAGTCTTGTGCCTGACAAAACCAGTTATATTTTTTTTACATACTAAATTTTCAATACAAAATGCCAAGATGCATAAATTCCATTCGAAGAAAGTGTCATAAGCCAACGTTGTATAGAGATACTACGATTTTTTTTATTTCCCAGCACAAGTTTCAAAAAAAAAAAGAAACATATGTTTTTTTTTTAAATACTTATTTAGCCAAATACAAATTTTCCATTGCACTCAGCTTAATACATTTATCTCATTGAAACACATAGAAAAAATTACATATATTGTATATATATATATATATATACATAGAAAAAATTACATTTGATTTTTTTTAAAAAAAATAAAATAAAATAAAATAAAAGTTTTTGTAATATTTTTTTTTATTTTTTGGAAAAGTACAATAATTTAAACGATTTTTTTCCATTTTTTTTTTTCAAACTATGAGTACTTATGGATGAAAAGATCAATATGCTTTTTTTTTCTCATATATATTATATATTTCTCATATATAAAATATTATTTTTTTTTTTTCTTTTTAATTCTATTTTATTTAATTTTTATTAAAATTAATTTTTTTTATTTAATAAAATTAGAAAAATGGAATAAAGTAGAATTATGTAAATTTGAAAAAGAAATTAAATAATATTTTATTTATCTTCGGCTGATTATTTTTTTTTTTTTACTTTTGCTTTACTATATTTTTTATCTTTTTTGTTTTTTTTTTTTTTAGTTAATTTCATTTTATTTTACCCTTATTATATTTTATTTTTTTTTTTTATAATGTTTTATATTGCTTTATGATTTTTATTTTCATTTTTTTTTTTTTTTTTATTTAATTTATTTTATTTTAATTATAATTTATATTTTACTTTCTTCTATTTCATTTTATTGTATTTAATTTTTTGTTGTTTTATGTTAATTAATTTGTTTTAGTTTTTTTCATATTTTATTTATTTTTATAAATTTTTAATTTTATTTGATGCTATTTTATTATTTTAAATTGTTTTTTATTACTTCTTTATTTTATTTTATGTTATTTTAATTTATTTTAGTTTTATTATATTTTAATAATTTTTATTATTTTTTTATTTGATTTTAATTGATTTTAATTTTTTTTATTTTATACTATTTTATTTATTTAATGTTATTTAATTAAATTTTTTTTTAAAATAGTTTTTTTTATTGTTTTTAATTTTATTTATTTTAATTTTTTTTTTTTATTTTATTATTTTATTTTATTTAATGTTATTTTTTCCTTTTTTTTCATACAAATAAATCCATAATTTTGTAAGTGTTTGTAGCTCTTCCTGCGCCAGCAAACCTTGCGGCTAAATTTTTATTGGTCACACAACCGTTTTTTTTATGCGTACTTTGGAAAAAATCATTTTCAGATCTATTCTTTGTTTTTTTTAAGTGCTGCTGATATTTTAGCATTGGAATGCGGTCGAACAATTTTTTTTTAGTTGTTGGCCATTGATAGTTAGTAGTGGCGCTCCCAGCATTTTTTTTTCTCTGAGGCGCAATACAATTGTAGACATAACACACAACTCTTTTTTTTATCAACCAGTTAAAAGTAGTTTCGTATGTGTGTGTGTGTGGTTTTTTTTAGAGAGAGAGTATGAGACAGAGTGAGCGAAGAAAGAGGCTGTTTTTTTTGTTCTGTCGCAAACACACACACACATACACACACACAAGTATTTTTTTTGCTCACCGTACGGTCTGCATACCATTGGACAGTGTCAATTCTTTTTTTTTATTATTACCAGTTTGCATTCTGAATAAACATACATACATATTTTTTTTCATATACCACGTTTAATGGAATTTTTGACAAATAAATTTGGTTTTTTTTTGCGCTAAACACGAATTATCACCATAGCGAAATGCACGAAATTTTTTTTGTCTTGCCACAAAATCGCCAACAAAAGCCGCCAAAAAACAGGTGAAAGTCATTTTTATTGCTCGATTTCTCGCTCATTGGCTATTTCGAGTTTTTTTTGAGGTCAGTGGTAGTCGCAGCATACGAAATGTATTGAATGATTTTTTTTTCGTAGAGAAATAAGAGTTTGAATGAATTGCGAGTACGCATTTTTTTTTTTAATCACGAGCAAAGCGATTGGGGGTATGAGTAGTGTGAATTTTTTTTATGGATTTCTTATATATATAATTTTTTTTTTGTTAATTTCATTTTTTTTGGCGTGTTGTGTTTATTTAAAATGCATTTTTTTTTTGATATTTTTAGCATGTGATTCTTATTTTTTAAAAGAAAAGTAAAAGGTTTTATAAAAAATTAAAACGAGTTTGTGTCTTAAGTCTTTTGATTGCGGTTGAATGTTTTTTTTGCTGTTAAAATGTGATAGTAATCATAGGCATATTTCGTTAAAGGTGTGTCAGTCAAGCAGAAAAGTGCGGCAGTCATTGAAAAATAAATGCAAATATAAAAAATGTTATTATTTAATGCATTTTTTTTTTCAATTTAAAAGGAAAAAGCAAGGTCAGTTGGTAAAAATGGCAGTAAATGAAAAAAAATATTTTGTTTAATTTTCAAAAAAAAATTCCTTCGTCGGTAATAAAATATATTAAAAAAAATATTTGTTTTCAATTTTCAAGCAGAAATAAGCAAATTTATTTTTTTTTTAAGAATTTTCTTGTTTTTCAAGACAGAAAACTTATTAGTTTTTTTTTAAAAACAACAATATATATATATATATCTTTATTCAATTTTTTTTTTTTTTGAAAAAAAATTTAGAGAAATTTATGGGCTTACATTTTTTATTTTTTTTAATTTTTGCGTAATTGAAAAAAAAAATTTAAAAAAGTTTTAAAGCAGAAAAATGCATAAACAATTGAAAAAAAAAATTTAGAAAAACTAATTTTTTTTTATACATATATATTATTCAACGCAGTAAAATGAGCCAGTAATTGAAAAAATAATTATTAAAAAATTAAAAAAATTATATGTTATTTTTTATTTTTTTTTTTAAGCAGAGTAATGAAAAAATTAGTAATTGGAAAAAAATTTTTTTTTAATTAAAAAAAATAATTATTATCTTTTTTATTATTTAACATTAATTTTTTTTAATTGTCAATCACGCACATTTTATATTTAAAAAATATTTTTTTTTTAAAAAAAGTAAATAACAAAAAAGTATTTTCTTGTATTTTAATTTTTTTTGTTATCTTTTTAAGCTTACAATTTTTTTTATTAAATTTAAATTTTTTTTAAAATTTAAAATTATTTAATATTTTTAAGAAAACACTTTTTTTTTTTTTCAAAAATTTTTTTTATTTTTATTTAATTTTTTTGTATATTTTTTTTTTTAACGGTGTAGGCCGCTAAGTAGATGTCATTTATTTTCCTAATTTAAAAAGTACAAAAATATATGGATATGCAAACAATAATTAAATTAGCGCCGAATATGAAAATATTTAAAGTTTATTAAGCCAACTCCTACAGCAAGTTTTTTTTTCCATATGTATATACATATACCAAATGTATTTATAATGTATTTTTTTTTACGCTGCGTAGGGTAACGGTGAAAGTGTGTAAACTGCGTGATTTTTTTTATGCCGAGTTGTCAAGGCGTTGATTGTTTGATTGCTTGATTTTTTTTTTTTTTAAGAGATATATTCACTTTTTTTCCGGCAGGCCTGGTGTTTTTTTTCACACACACATACACATGCCAACACAAATCTCCAGTTGACTTTTTTTTTTGTGTGAGTACGTGTATGTAAATATGCGGCGCGTATTTAATTTTTTTTTAGCATAAACGTTTTGCATTGTTGCTCGTTATTTAGAAAGTTGAAAAAAATCTATTTTTATACAATATTTATTTACAAACACTTTGACAAATTTTTTTTTTGAATTTTTTATTATTATTATTTTTTTTTGTATTTTTTCATTTTTTTTTGTGTTTAAAAGGAATTAACATTTAAAAAGCAACTTTCTACTTTTTTTTAATTTGAATTGAACAAATTTCGAAAATGGATTGGGTAGAAGTTTTTTTTGTGTGGTTTGATCCTGGCGTTGGTCATCCCATACCGGGCGATTTTTTTTAGGTGCATCGTGCGGCGCAAGTAATTGTTGTGCAGGCACTCTTTTTTTTAAAGGTAAGGATTTTTTGGCGAAAAAAAACAATAACTAAAATTTTTTTTAAAAAAATTTAAGTTAAAATATAAAAAAATAAATAAAAATAATACTAATTAAATTTTTAAAAATAGAAAAAATTAATAAAAAAGAAAATATTTTTTTTAAATAAAAATTAAAAACTAAGATGAAAATCAAAAATATAAATTTTTTTTAAAATAAAAAACTTAATTAAAAAAATAAAATAAAATGATAATTTTTTTTTTAAAATAGGGGAAAAAGAGAAAGAATATAAATTATAAAAATTTTTTTTAAAATAAATTTGATAAAAAATTAATCAAGAAAAAATAAATATTTTTTTTAATTAAAAAATAAATAATAAAAAAATAAAAATAAAAAACTTTTTTTTTTGATATAAAAAAAAAAATAAAAATAATAATAATTAAATTTTTTTTTTTTTAAAAAATTAATAAAAATGAAAATAGAAAAAATAAATAAAAATTTTTTTTTGAAGTTAAAACAGAAAAAAAATAAATAAAAATAAAAATTAAGATGAAAATCAAAAATATAAATAAAAAGAAAAATAAAAAACTTAAGAATTTTTTTTAAATAAAAAGTTAAAATAGGAAAAAATGAGAAAGAAAATAATTTTTTTTAAAACAAAATTAAAAATAATTTAAAAAAAAAACTAATCAAATTTTTTTTAAAAAAACAAAATTAATTAAAAAATAATAAATAAAAAAAAATTTTTTTTATATTAATAAAGCAATAATATTTATGTAATGTAATAAAAAGTTTTTTTTAATAAAAAAAATAATGATGAGTTAACCAAAAAAGAATAAACTTTTTTTTTTATATTAATCAATAATTTTTGATGTGTAATGGGAAGTTGATTTTTTTTTCTCAGCTAAAAATGAAAAAGCTTCAGTGGCGCCACTCCGATTTTTTTTCTCAGTTTAAGGGTTCGCTGAAGTCTAATTACGGCGCCTGTTTTTTTTTGGTCCAGTTGCGTGCGGGCGTCGGTCTTGAAGCAAACGGCTTTTTTTTTAAAAATGTCCAAAATTTGAACCTACTCGCCTAGCGAAGCTCTTTTTTTTGTGTCGACCCGTCACGTAGAAACCAGCGCCAGTGAGCAGTTTTTTTTTTCATCATATTAGATACCTGCCTTTTGATGACGACCCCCGGAATTTTTTTTCGGATCACGATTTGAGAGCAAGCACCATGAATTTACGGTCCTTTTTTTTGAAAGATACCGCTGCCTAGCTGATTTGATGTTCTCGTTAAATTTTTTTTCGACATCATCTCAGTCCAAGAAGTGCGATGAGTGGGACAAGTTTTTTTTCGAGTAGGTTCTTGTGACATTGACTAAAGCGGCCATATAACTTTTTTTTAATTTGATGTGGGATTAGTGGTGGGACAGAGACTCCGTCATTTTTTTTTAGTTGATGCTGATCGTCTGCACCGTTGTCTGCAGTACTAGATTCCAGTGCAAGAAAATGCAACAAACTCCTTAGTTGTCGCCAAATCGAATTTTTTTTAACCAGATCGATCATGTTGTGATAGACGGACAAAATGGTACTTTTTTTTTTGACGTGCGTACACTCCGAGGATCTAACATTGAGTCGGACTTTTTTTTTTTTAGCAGAAATGATACGCACCCATCTCTATGTAGTAAAGTTTTTTTTGAGAATTCGAGAAAAGCTGCAATCACAACAGACAGCCGAACTTTTTTTTACTCGACTCTCTGAGAGTACTCCGCAGCATGTCCGGTTAAGTTTTTTTTGAGACGGAAAAAAAAGAAAATAACCAAGGTAGGAGCTTCAATTTTTTTTACTACAAACTCTGTCCTCTAAGCACAAATTCTTGTGTTCTATTTTTTTTGAATGTACTTGTAGAAGACAAATACTCTCATCGCCTTCTCTTTTTTTTTGGACCATCGATGAAAACCTGAAGAGCACTTCCAACGTAGCATTTTTTTTCAAATTTTAGGTCGTTGTGCATTGCAGACAGATCAAACTGTAAATGAGCTTAAATCATGTCCTGTCACTAAGAGTCTCATAAACCGAAGTTTTTTTTTGGGAAGATCCTGCGTCAGCTCCTCTCTACTGATAGAAATGGTTTTTTTTGCCTTTCCGGAACGCTCCAAATCCTGAAAGAAATGCATCTATTTTTTTTTTAGAAATAGACTAGTCTTTGTCAGAACTATTGAGCGAACTTTTTTTTTATCTTGCCAGTCACTTAGAGACCAACACCTTCGCTAACAATTTTTTTTTATCTCTCTGCCACCGAGAGCCTTTAATACGTACGATTAATTTTTTTTTTAAAGATGCCTTAGATGTAAATGTAGGGACGGGGCTCATCTATTTTTTTTATATCTACTTCGCAAGCATCGGCTAAGTACAAATCATACAGAGAAGTTGGCGAAATGCGACTATCCAGTGTTTAACCGATTGAAACGTCATTTTTTTTCCAGCTTTGAAAAAACTCCTCCTGTTGCACGGTGCACTGAATTTTTTTTTGAGCTGACAAAAAAAAAAGAACTCGTCAAACTATGTAATTTTTTTTTTGCCGTGCACCGACCTGTAGTCAGCTTAAAAAGTGGTCTTCCTTTTTTTTATGCGCCACACAATGCAGAGCAATTTGAACAGAAACTGTGCTTTTTTTTAGAAATCAGAAATCATAGATGGCAATGAAGAGACGCTATAATTTTTTTTTGCAGAGTGTAGACGAGACTACAAAACATGAAATCCAAGCTTTTTTTTTCAGAACTTTTACCTGTCGCCGTGGTGCGACACAAAGCAGCATTTTTTTTTGGCCGCCAGCAAAACGTCAGCAGCAGCAACATGTTTTCTTTTTTTTTTATTAATGGACAGCGTCAATTAATATACATATATACATATGTTTTTTTTTTATTTATATGTTTTAGTTCATAAGAGTGCTGCATGGCATCTTTTTTTTTCCAAAAGCCCGATGTGTCTGGTTTTAGCGGATTTCTCTGCATTTTTTTTGCACTAACGGTGCATTCTATTGTCTGACATTGTAAAGTGAGTTTTTTTTGTTGTAGCGGCACGCGCGCGCGCCTTTCTAACGGATATTTGTTTTTTTTTTGGAATACATAAAAGTTCAACACACCAACTTCCGGCTGGCTTTTTTTTGCTTATGCGTATTGTGCGCTTCCACTTGGAGCCCTGGCAGCGATGCGGTTCCATTACGCCTAGTCCGGCGCCCTCGCCGTCGATTGCACTTTTTTTTTCGCATATATTGCGTCGTCAGAGACCGCCAAGCGCGGAGCGCTTTTTTTTTATGGACGACAAGAGCAAAGAAGACGACTACAACAACAACAATAATAACAACAACAGCGCAGCGCTGCTCCACTTAAAGCAAAAGCAGCGTTTTTTTTAGGAGCGTAAAGCGAAAAATCGCTATCCGCAATGTGTGAAGTTTTTTTTGACCATTTGCAGCGATGTGCTAGCCAAAGACGTTCGTAATATTTTTTTTAGCTCTATTCGTAGTGTACATATAGACATACCTACAGACAGTTTTTTTTAACATGTGTTCTTTTCTCTTTTTACCGTAGTATAAGCCTTGTTTTTTTTCCTCTAATCGTCTACTCTCTTTCAGGCGCAGACATTTGCACTTTTTTTTGGCGAGGGTAACTTGCGTCCACGTCAAGATCTTGGCAGCAGTTTTTTTTAGGACATGACAATGTTGGAGGACTTGCATGAAGCTTCATTATTTTTTTTCTTACGTCTACGCTATGACAAGGGTCTGATCTACACCTTCGTTTTTTTTATACTGATCGCTGTCAACCCCTACAAAATGTTTCCTGACTCTTTTTTTTTGGAAGTGGCTAAGAAATATGCTGGCAAACCGTTGGGTACATTTTTTTTACACTTGTTTGCTATCGGCGCTGCAGCACACGCCGCCCTGCTTTTTTTTCAAGTGGTTGTAATATCGGGAGAGTCGGGTTCGGGCAAGACTTTTTTTTCAAAATTGGTTATGCAGTATTTGGCTGCTGTCGTGCCGGGTTTTTTTTTCGCTTCCGCTGTGATTGCCGAGCAAATACTCGAGGCTGCGCTTTTTTTTGAGGCTTTCGGCAATGCGCGCACCGCACGCAATGATAATAGTTTTTTTTTTGGCAAGTATCTGGAGGTTTACTTTAAGAATGGCGCCATTTTTTTTTTTAAGATCACACAATATTTACTGGAGAAGTCACGCATTGTCATTTTTTTTCCGGGTGAGCGTAACTATCATGTTTTCTATGAAATGCTTGGTTTTTTTTCGGAGACTGAACGCACAAAGTATGGCCTGCTAGAGGCCGACAAGTATTTCTACCTAAATCAAGGTGCTACCGATTGTGCGCCGGGCCGCGTTTTTTTTGATTCACTACAAAGTGCCATGCAGGTTTTGGGCGTGTCGGATTTTTTTTGTGAGGGCATTATACGTGTGTTGGCATCGGTGCTGCATCTGTTTTTTTTCTACTTTCATCGTCGTCAGCTGCGTCATGGTCAAGAGGGTGTTTTTTTTGGCTCGGATGCGGAAATCAAGTGGGCCGCACATTTACTGCATTTTTTTTCTGAGGGTTTACATCGTGCTTTAACTAGTCGTATAACCGAGTTTTTTTTGGAACGTTTACACACACCGTTGGGCATTGATCAAGCGCTCGTTTTTTTTGACGCTTTTGCGAAGGCGCTCTATGCGGGTCTCTTCAATTGTTTTTTTTCACGTATAAACTCAATCGTGCAGAAGGGTGGCACACACGATTTTTTTTTTATCTCCATATTGGATATATTCGGCTTCGAGGATCTGGCGGTTTTTTTTTTCGAGCAGTTGTGCATAAATTACGCCAACGAAAATCTACATTTTTTTTTCAATAAACATGTCTTCAAACTGGAGCAGGCCGAGTACTCATTTTTTTTTCTAGAATGGACACCACTAACGTGGGACGACAACTTACCGGTTTTTTTTCTGCTGGCCAAGAAGCCTGTGGGCATATTCCATCTGCTCGATTTTTTTTCGAACTTCCCGCGTGCCACGGATATGAGTTTCCTGGAGAAGTTTTTTTTCAATCATGCGCTCAACGAGCTCTACTCCCGACCCAGAATCGTTTTTTTTGAATTCGGCATAACACATTATGCCGGGCAGGTGTGGTATTGTTTTTTTTGTTTTTTGGACAAGAACCGCGATGCGCTGCGCAGTGATGTGTTTTTTTTATTGGCCTCGAGTAAACTGCAGCTGGTTGTCGATCTGACGAAACAGTTGCGCGCACAACGCGATTCGGGCAAGACGCTACCCAAGGGCAGTTTTTTTTGTTTCGTTACGATGAAGCCACGTACGCCCACCGTTGCAGCCTTTTTTTTCGATTCATTACAACAACTACTCCAGTCTATGGGTCGCTGTATTTTTTTTTTCGTGCGCTGTATAAAGCCGAATAACGAGAAACACGCGCTTTTTTTTTACATGCCATGTGTGCTGCAGCAGCTGCGATACTTGGGCATGTTTTTTTTCATACAGATCCGTCAAAAAGGCTATCCGGTGCGCTTGAAGTTTTTTTTTTTCGTCGAACGTTATCGACATCTACTACGGACGCCCCTGCCTTTTTTTTCACCGTATCGTGAGCTGTGTCGCATACTGCTCGAGTCACTGTTTTTTTTCGGCATCGAGGGACCGGACTTCCAATTGGGCGCTACACGCGTTTTTTTTCGTGAGGCCTTGCACCGCATTCTGGAGAGTGGCCGCTCGGATTTTTTTTAATCTGCCGCTGTTATTATACAAAAGAGTGTGCGCGGCATGTTTTTTTTTCGTCATATTGCGCGTAAAACGAAAGCCGCCATTAAAATACTTTTTTTTTGGCGCAGACATCGCGATCTGCACAAGTACAGACAGCTGAATTTTTTTTTGGTGCGTGCACAATCGCTTTGGCGTGGCAAGCGAGATCGTTTTTTTTTGGCTAAACTTAAGGCCGAGTACAAGCGTCGCTTGGAAGCACTTTTTTTTCAGAAAGAACGCGAAGCGAAAAAGTTGGCCAAGGAGAGCATTTTTTTTTGTCAAGTGGCCTATTTGGACATACCGGCGGAGCTTGCCTTCATCTACTCGAAGATAGACGGTTGGACACCGGTGCATGGTGACCGGCATTTTTTTTTTGTTGTGGGCACAGTGCCCGGACCGCCAGTGGCTGGTGATCTGCCCAGAGATCTGGATCAATTTTCGTTTGGTAAATTCAGTTCGGTGTACTTTTTTTTCCTACGGCTCTCACCACGACGTGAACCCATAACAACACCCTTTTTTTTTAGGGCCGCCTCACGAGACCAAGATTTCCAAGACTCACTGGCTTTTTTTTAGCTGATTTTGCGTTGGACCAACGATAAGACGCTCGACGGCTTTTTTTTGAAGGTGCTTTCAGATTATATCGTGCACAAAGGCTTGTCCTTTTTTTTTCTGCGTGACGAGATATTGGTACAACTATGCAATCAAGTTTATTTTTTTTACGAGTCTGCCTCCCAGCGCCTCTGGCAGCTAATGGCGCACTGTTTGTCTTGCTTTCAGCCGGGTCCTGCTTTTAGTAAATATCTAATGATTTTTTTTATGGATAATGCGCCCTCGTCGATGAAGGAGATGCTTTTGAATTTTTTTTTACGCAATTCAAGCAACTCGCAGGCCAACGCTTGTAGAAATTTTTTTTTCTCCTGGGTGGAGTGGCGTGCGATCTCCAAAATGTCCGATATTTTTTTTTCGCTCACAATGCCCGATGATACTACACAAACTGTTGCCATTTTTTTTTGGACAACTTGCGAGGAGGCTGCCTCTTTGGCCATATCCACGTTTTTTTTATCGAATCGTGGTTGGACGGTGGTCTTGGACGATGGCAAGTTTTTTTTTGACTCGTGTGGTCTAGACTATGTTTTGGATTTGATATCCGATTTTTTTTTCTGTCCAGCATTCCCCGCAGTGCGCAGTGATCTGATGAAATTTTTTTTCAAGTTTATACGTACGAGCATGCCCGACGTGGAGGCAAGTATTTTTTTTCGGCCACAGGTGCCGCCACCGGAGCCGCCGAAAGCTAAAACAGCGACAACACCGCGCGAGTCACCCATTGCCGAACCGAAAATTGAACCGTTTTTTTTGAAGACATCACGCGATTTATTGTCGCGTAGCTCTGTGCTAATTTTTTTTTATTTTGAACAAGAAAAGAGCCGTTCAAAGTCATTGGATGATTTTTTTTCTGGAGACGCTGCCGAGCTTGAAACCACACCCGAACCGGAATTTTTTTTAAACCTAGGTCTATCGGAAAGTCGACTCAATGACCGATATCTTTTTTTTGAGCGTTTGGTGCCGTTGGGCAAAGAGACGGCGCCACGTTATTTTTTTTCGCAAAATGCTGGACGTCGTTCACACGCTGGCTCGCACACCTTTTTTTTCATGGATAAATCCGAATATGCTACACGTTCATCGGCCATGTTTTTTTTTAGCGAGGCGCCCTCGTTGGCCTCACATGTACGACGCGTACGTTTTTTTTCACAGGCTTCGGATGTCGACCAATTTCTTGATGATTTATTCAGTCCTGTTTTAGACGGCTCACTAGATGAGCTGTCGGATGCAAGATCATTTTTTTTTAGCATACGTGGTGGTGGATCAAAAGACGTGGAGACATTTGATTTTTTTTACGACTTTCTAGAGGCACCAAACACTTCACACAACTCAGCGTTTTTTTTTACAGACGTCGGTGTGCTCTGTCGCAAGATCAAAGGCGGCGTTTTTTTTGATGAGGTCAAAGACGAAGCAGCTAACGATAACTTGGATGATTTTTTTTCGGGTTTATTCAAGCCGATATTTATCAACGAGGCCGTAAACTTTTTTTTAAAGCAAGCTGAGCTCATAGAAATCATCAAAGGCGGCGGCATTTTTTTTACTCAGTCCACAAGCAACACCAGTTTCGTCACATCACCAGTTTTTTTTTCGCTGAGTCCCTTAATGTCGAATGCCGACAATATCATACAATTTTTTTTTATACCAGCAGATGCGGATCCCAACGTCTACCAGCAGCAAGTTTTTTTTGCTTTCTTGCAGTCCGCAATGGCGCAGAATCTACAAATCCATTTTTTTTTCTTAGCACAAAATCAGGCACTGCAAACCCTACTCAGCCAATTTTTTTTACCCACAGGCACCACGTCGCCACCGCTTGCACCCGTCCACATTTTTTTTCAGCAAACCAGTCATGCCACCAACCATGCCAACAGCGTAATTTTTTTTTTGAGCACAACAACACCACCAACACAGCCAAGTAACGCACGATTTTTTTTCGTGAAAAATCGTATATCACAGTTTTCAGAGCACGATCGTATTTTTTTTGCATCATCAGAGAGTGGCACATCGTTAATACCACCACCGCCTTTTTTTTCCATGCCGCCGCCGATAGAAGCCAAAGATCCCTCCGAGACGTTTTTTTTTCTAGATCCGTACGGCCGCGCTAAGACAGTGCGCATAGGCATTTTTTTTTGGCCACCACCGCAGGACGCACCCCAGTTTGAGACTGAAGATTTTTTTTTTGCCTTCAAAATGCGTCAATCACAACGGAAGACAACACCATTTTTTTTATTTCACAGCAGTAATGGCTCATTGACGGGCTCCGCCATGGTTTTTTTTGAGTTCGAAATCGATACGTCCAAAAGCCCATCGCCGGTATCTTTTTTTTCACCAATGCATGCGCAGTTGGTGCGAACCACACTGAAAATTTTTTTTTTCGGTGGTGGTGGTGGTGGTAAGGGAGGAAGTAAAGAGTTCGTTTTTTTTCAACAACAACAGCAGACGGTAATTACAACGAAAGTAGCCAATTTTTTTTTCGAGATCGGCGCGGAGCGTCCGCCACCGGGTAGTGTTGGCTTTTTTTTGCTGAGTTCGGAGATGCGTCAACGTTTGGAGCAAGTTACCGTTTTTTTTTCAGTGCGATCAACGGTTAGCACCAAATCGGAACAGCGCACTTTTTTTTAGCTTGAGGATACAAGGAAACTCATGTTGCAGCAACAGCTGTTTTTTTTCTTCTTGAATATGGAAGGCAAGCAAGATAAGGATCTACCCTTTTTTTTTACGCAAATCGAGCGCATGGAGGGTAAGCTGTCACCGCCACCTTTTTTTTCGAATGGCGTGCCGCCAGCGCCAAGCGTGCCTGCGCCACCATTTTTTTTACGTCCGCCCACAATTGCACCACCCGCGCCGCCGCCAGCGCTTTTTTTTCCACCTGCACTACTGCATGAGCTGGAAGCCGAAGATGTTATTTTTTTTTGTCAAAGCGGTAAGGATATACCAGCATTTATACAGCGACAGTTTTTTTTCACATTCGGCGCACGTCACAATTGGAATGGCTCGGATGATTTTTTTTTTACCTATGACTCTTGGGGGCGCGCCGAGGCGGCTAAACTTGATTTTTTTTACGAGACAAGTTTCAAAAAAGAAATTCAAAATGAAAGAGAATTTTTTTTTTCACGTTCGCGCTCTCGTGATCGCGATGACTTCTCCGAATTTTTTTTTGATCGGGCAGAAGTTGAGGGTCCCTCCTCGAGTGGCAGCGATTTTTTTTGAGAAAAGGAACGTGAGAAGCGCGAGCGTATCTATGAAATTTTTTTTTTGGAACGTGAAAAAGAAAGCAATAAAATATATCATCCAGCGCTTTTTTTTGTCATCACAGCGTCAGTTGAGCGCAGAGACGTAGGTTCGCCTTTTTTTTCACATATGGAGCGTAAATTTTCACAGCCTTCCACGCACTCCTTTTTTTTGCAGCCGGCAATGAATTCGACAAGCGTAAGCCCGAAATCAAACAACGCGCCCGCCACATTCCGTACACATATGGCGCAGAAGTATGAGAATTTTTTTTAGCGCAAATCATCTGCATCCACAGTACAGTCACAAAGCACGTTTTTTTTCGAAGAGACCGATGGTGGCGACGAATGGCCGCTGCCAGCCATTTTTTTTCCAGTACCGGCGCCAGCGTCAATTAAGAGCCCAGCAACGGCTTGTTTCACATATAACCGAGTACCGTGGCGTCTGCGTGTACGCAAAGAATTTTTTTTTCCCAGTGAACCGATTGGTCCGCCCATTGCATTGGATTTACTTTTTTTTCAAGTGGTATCGGACGTCTTTGGTATTACACCGTGTTTGCGTTTTTTTTCACAAGAGAAATCCGTTGCGCTGACCATGCTCAACGGACACTTTTTTTTCGTTGAAACGATATGCAATCAAAATGTGCGCGCAATAGTAATTTTTTTTCTTATCGATATGGCACGCAGTTGGCCGCTCTATTTTGCGCGTTTTTTTTCTGTCCAAGGCGCGCCACAGTATCCCGATGTCTCCATAATGTTTTTTTTACATAACGGCCTTTACCTGGCGCGACGCGATGCAGAGTATCTTTTTTTTGTTCAATCGATTTCGTTGAATGAAATTCAAAACGCTATCACCTTACCGCGTCCCGCATCTTTGCAGTTAAATTTGCGTAGTGGCGATCATTTTTTTTTGCATGCGGCTCGGGCAGCTTCCATACAAGCGATGATTTCCATTTTTTTTCAAGAGTACCGTAGGGTAAGTGTAATATTTAGATTCGTTATTTTTTTTTTACTGTACTAGTTTTAATCTTTTGGAAGCAACCTACAAACGTTTTTTTTGTTGTTATTGTAAATTGGTCACGGCAAAGTACTTAAGACGATTTTTTTTCTGAATTGAGCTCAAATCGTGTCCCACCGCCCGCAATAACGGAATGGTTAGCATCGCGTGCTACCATTCTGAAGGCCAGTGTTCGAGTCCTTTTTTTTTCAAGCATCTAAAGTTTTAGAAATCCAATTTTTCTAATAGCTTTTTTTTCTCGGCAGGGAATGTCAAGCGCTACCAGTGCTTTCTGACATAAAAATCGAAGCTCCCAATATAAATCCAGTGGGCGCTCAGAGACAGCAGTTTTTTTTAGGAATACCAAAATCGAAAAGCTAATTTAAAGTCGACGGTTTTTTTTTTTTTGGCGCGTGGTCAATATCTGGTTTGGTTTATGTTTGATTTTTTTTTTCTAAAGACGCACTGATAAGGTCCATTCAGTTTGTTGACAGTTTTTTTTTGTCTTTCACACAATACGATCGATTTGCGTAGACTGTGGGATTTTTTTTTTTTCTGGATCGGGCAGAGCACACTTAGTTAGGTTCCATGGCTTTTTTTTATACGACCATATTTTGCAAAGAAGCTTGATGCATGCACCTTTTTTTTTTTTCAACGCCGCATTTGAATGTAATGATCCCCTGTATTAAATTTTTTTTTGCGTCGGCAGCTTCCAAATATTTGCTAGGCAAAATTAACGCTTTTTTTTCTTCGGTAAAAATTTCCCGAGGATCAGTCTTATGGCAAAAATCGATTATTTCTTCTTAAGCGATATACTTCGAACTGCAGGAATTTCCCTTTTTTTTTTTTGACGTTTGTCTAATAATATTGTTAGGATTTTGCTGAATTTTTTTTTATGATTTTCTAAATCCTTCGTGTACGATCTCTGGATTGTTATTTTTTTTATCGCCAACTTAATTTGCAGTTTCTTTCGTTACAAAGAATTTTTTTTTTGTCCTTTATTTACTCAGTAATTCACAAATCAATCACAATGCTTTTTTTTAGTTACAATCACTTGTATAAGACTTTCACAATTTACTTTACTTTTTTTTTTCTGATCTCCAACGAGTTCACTTTGTAACTGACTTACTTGTTTTTTTTGTGTCGCTCTTATATAGCAGTCGGCTGCTCGTAGACGTAGATTTTTTTTATAATCGAGTTGTTCGATATCGAAGGTTCTTGTTTTATCGCTTTTTTTTATACCAGTTATCGGCTTCTCTCTTTCGTCTGACATTCGCCTTTTTTTTTCGCCACAATATTCTGGTTCACAGAGAAAATAGTTTCACCGGCGATTAACATTATTTTTGTTCGAGGTTTTTCAATTTCATTTTGGGGGAAAAAAATATCCAGATTTTATTATCGAATATCAAAACCAAGCAAAATCAGCTTTTTTTTAATGAAATGAAATTTCAAAATGACCGCAATCGTGAGCATAGTTTTTTTTGATGAGTACATATCAATATAAACAAAAATTATATTGGACATTTATAGTCAGCGCAAATTCGATAAAACCATCAGAGGCATATACATATATTTTTTTTTAGAAAAATTACAAAAACAAAAATCCAACGAAAATATTTATTTTTTTTTTATGTATGTATATCTAAGAAGAAGGAAGAAAGAAAGCAATCATTTTTTTTGACGTTTGAGGAATTCGCATTGCTTTAAACGTCTAAACTTTTTTTTTTTACCTCGTATATAACTGTAAAATGCGATAATGAGTCTTCAAATTTTTTTTCTGTTACTTGAAAATGATGGGCATGCGGACATGGGACGGAAGCAAAAAAACTGGTCGACTTCAAATTTGTAAACAAACTGCGTTCACCATTTTTTTTTTGTTTACCAAAGTAGCTGGAGCAATTGCACATTGAATACATTTTTTTTTCAAAGCGTACAAAAAGCTCTGCAGTTTTCTTTTCAAAAATATTTTTTTTCATATGTATGTACATACTCTCTATATTTATAAATACATTATTTTTTTTTCAAATAACAAAAACTGACATTTTTTTTATTCTTTTTTCTTTTTTTTTTTAAAGTTTCATGGTCAAAAGGTTTTCCATCTTTATTATTTTTTTTTTTTTTAGATGACTACGCAACTCTTAATAGGTGTATATGTACATATTTTTTTTTGTATGTATGTATGTATGCAGTTTATTAACATTACCCAATAATTTTTTTTATTTTGAATACGAATATGAGATGTATGCACTGTTAGTGATATTGACGCCAAAGGGAACTAGTTGAAAACTACTTAGGTTCTAGTCAGCTAATATTTTTTAAATATATTTTTTAACAGATGTTCAGAAGTGGTGTATCCTTTTTTTTTTCGTTGGCCAGAAATATACTATTCCCAAATTAGAAACTAACTTTTTTTTTTACATTGTACTCTGGATTGGCTATTAAGAGTAATTGGTTGTTTTTTTTCCAGGCTCATACTAGTCCAAAATGGATCAGTCACTGTTTTCTTTTTTTTACAAAGAGAATTCATTATATTGTGCTCTTAATTGGGTATTATTTTTTTTTGGTTGGCTTAAAACCAGGCTCCTACTAGTTCAAAATGGAGTTTTTTTTATCTTTTTTCAGAAACTAACAAATTTTGTTATATATTGATGTTTTTTTTGTTGGCTATTAACAGTAATTGGTTGGAGCAAAACGCGAGCCTTTTTTTTTTGTACCAAAAGGAGTGTTTTCCCATGCTTATAAAAGAATTTTTTTTTTAAAGAAATACAGCAACCCATCCGAAGAGACGTTTCATAGCATTAATGTTAAGAGAATTTCTGTTTTCTCGTGGATTAAAGTTTATAAGCATTTTTTTTAATATTGAATATTTTATTTATTTAAAAATTAATTTTCATTTTTTTTTTTTTAATTTAAAATTCTTAAAATTTCACTTTTTTAACAAATTATATTGGAAATAAAAATATATTAAAGTAGGCAATTTCATTTATCGTTACCTTAGAATTTTCTTTTCATCTATATTAATTACTTCTTACTGAAGTTACATTTTTTTTTCTCACATAATACTATAAGCTTATTTAAAAAAAAAATATTATTTTTTTTTTTACAATTCAACAACTGTGAACACCGCCTTATACGTTTTCCGCCATCACTCATCTATTAAAACCGATTGTTGTAAATAAAAATCGGCTGATCAGTTATAATGCAACGAATGCGTCGCAAATTTCTGTTTTTATTATTTATTTTTTTTTTTTCCATGCAAGCCAATAACACATATTTTAAAGTCATTTGTTTTTTTTGATTTTTGCAATGTATAAAGACAAAAAAAAAATACGCGTTATTTTTTTTTATTGCATGCGAGAAAATATACCTACGCCTCATTGGCGCCTCGACTGCGACGCGACTGCGACGCGACAACAGTTTCATTTTTGCGCCTTGTTTTTTTTACGTTTATGTGCCGCTTTTCAATTTAACTTTTTTTTTTTATTTTTTTTTTATTGTGCGTTTAATTTTTTTTTCACGCTTACATATGTACATATTTTAAGCTAAAGCTGAGCAAAGCAGCTACTAATGTGCGCTTATACGTTTTTTTTTGTATGTATGTTTCAAAAAAATATGAGAAAATAAAAATTTACTAATCAAAAATATGAAAGCTCTCGTAATGTAATTTAACTGTTGTATGATTTTTTTTCATATGTACATATTCATGTATGTACGAGTATGCATAAAAGAAAGAAAAAATCACAGTTTATTCAATTAAAATTTCACATACTTGCGTTAAGCACACGTCCAACCTGACATTAACGATCACAGCTGAAAGTATTTAGCAATTTTTTTTAATTTTTCATATTTACATATAAACATACTACATATAAAAATTTTTTTTTAATGGTTGTCCCCTTTTAGACTAGTATGAGACTAGTATATTTTTTTTTTCATTTTGAGAATTGCCAACTTGTAATATATTTATGACCGGGTTATAACGGATTTATATACAATATATTTTATTTCTAAAATGAACTAGTAATTTTGGTAGTCCATTTCGAACTAGTTTTGGCGTAACATATTCTTTTATCCAACAATGCTGTGACAAAATGAATGTATATACATATAAACAAAAATATGTGTGACTAATTTCGGTGCAAAAATGAATTGTTTACCTTTTTGTACTAGTATGCGACTAGTATATTTATAACCAAAAACTGACAATTGCCAACGCGCATTTTTTTTTTGTATCAAAAATATATGTTAGTTGTTAAAAAGCTGTGATTTTTTTTTTTTGCACTGGTTTGAGACTAGTTTCTTTCCAAATAAAACTGCTTTTTTTTCAATTTCTGAGACATGGTAGGATTATAAGGACTTGAATTTATGCATAATTAATTAAAAAACGTACTAGTAACTTTTTTGGTGCATTTTCCGCTTTTAGGGGACTAGTATAAGAAATATATAATAAAATATAGATTTTGGTTTTTTTTCAGTAATATCGGCTATTGTAGTCACAAAAAGACGGCAGCTGACTATTGTCCCAGTAGTTTTTACCAATTATTAGTGCTTGAAATTTTAAGTTTTTTTTTTTGGTTCCGAAACACACTAGTAATTTGCAAGGTTTATTTTTTTTTTTTATGAGTTTAGTATATTTTAGAATGAAAACTTTTAATTTGCGTCTTTAACGGCACCCGCTACTGGATAAAAAACTGAATTAACTTTTTTTCTAAATAAAATTTCATAACATTGTAGACCAGTATGAGACTAGTTTGTTACTTTTTTTTCTGTGAAAATTTCACAAATCGCTGGAAAACAGCGTTTGATAGTTTTTTGGTTAAAAATCCATGACTGGTCCATTTTTGGTTACTTTCGAACCAGTTTTGGTACTAGTATATTTGTGAAAAATTCTGTTCGATTTCGTTATAAAATCTATTAGTTGCAAACGTGCCAATGTATGACGCGTTTCCAAGTAGTTTTGAACTAGTTCCTTTCGAAGC